CTGAGTGAATGGGGAAGTTTGCGTGTTGGCGCAGAAAATTGAAGCAGGTCAAAATGCATCAACACAACGAAGCTAATATGGCATAAAAACAAAGCCATACTTGACGGAGTTTGGCTATATCGAGGCTCACTGCAGTAAAAAAAAGACATACGGAGGATTAGATAGCAGGTAAAGCAGCGCACAGCTACAAACACTCACCCGGATTAGCATGACGGTCAGAAAGCTAAACAAATAACCCGCAAAATTATTTAAGTCTTCGAGCTGCGATGTAAGACGCTGGTTCTGCTCTCGCTGTTGAACCGCTGCTACGCTACAGGCTCACACCGAGCCTCTGCTTAAAGCTGCAGCATCTAACCTAAAAAAATAAAGTTTATATACGTATTAAAACTTTCGCTGTCCTAACATGAGACAGATAATCTCTAAAAAAAAAAACATCGATCTCCTCCCTGATCTGCATAATTACTCCACTCAGTCAGAAACAGCCAATCAGAACTAGCAGTAATCAGCTAGCCGCCATGCTAACAGGAAGTTTTCATTCAGTAACTCTGGATTGTTTATTGTAATGAAACCTGTTTATGCCTTTGAATGTTAAGTTTTATACTTGAATCTTTTGACAATGTTGAGAGGTTTTATTTGGACTCTTTGCATTATTTAGCCTCTTCAGAGCCTTCATGTTTTCAGTCTGTTAAAAATAGTATTACCAATAGCAGTACAATTTGCACAATGCCTGTTTTGTTTAGTTTTCTTCTTGGAAAAAGTTATTAAAAACAAGTTTTTGTCTAAATTAAGGTGAAGTCATGGTTCCTTTTTCCACATAATATAACCGGTAGTGCTTATGATTAAAAAAATAATAATTATGTGATCGGTATCGGTGATCGGAATCGGCAGGAAAAAACCTGATCGGTACATCTCTAATGGGGGGTATTTTTTATAGCTGATCCAGAATCAGGTAATAGTATATTATTAGTCATTATTCCTTTAACTGGTAATATTGAGAATTTACAAAAAAAAAAAAAAAACATTTTCCGGTTGCCTTTTTGACTCTGTTTTTGTTTCAGGTGCCGAAGATCGCCGTGCCCCTGAACACAACCAAATACAACCCGTCCCTGGACGACAACCTGACACTCATCTCCTCCTTCAACAAGTTCCCCTACCCGACGCAGGCCGAGCTCTCCTGGCTCACCGCGGCCTCCAAACACCCAGAGGAGCAAATCAAAGTCTGGTTCACCACTCAGCGGCTCAAGCAGGGCATCAGCTGGTCCCCTGAAGAGGTGCAATGATCATTTTTTATCTTAATTTCTCTTTGCTGTGTGTGTTGTTACTGTGAGCTGTGAGCTGTTGGTAGATAAACAACAGTAAATAAACTTGAATTTCACCTAATTTGAAAACCTAACAACCTGGATGTTGCATTTTAATGAATGCATGTTTTGTGTTGTACACTATATAAGACTCATAGTCCCATATCTGATTAGTTCTATTAATATTTTGGGGTTTTTATGAACATAAAAAATTCTCAAGTATTTAAAAGTTAAGAAGTTACAGTAATTTCTTTGGGAACAACATGGAGCTACTTCTCAGGAGATGCATTAAACCTACCATGCATCAACTTATGTTAAAGATAACTTTTTATACTATTAAGCTTATTTTTTATACATTATTTTTAACACTTTAGGAACTTTTTGTGTGAACCTTTATATCTGTTGCTGCTGTTATACCATATTTTCCCCCTTTCTGTTCTATTAATGTTTTGTAATTTGTATTGGTAGAATATTTTTTTCTGTAGTGTATAGGGCACCAAACCTGGCTTCAGCCCAGGGGCCCCGGTTCTTGTAAATCCGGCCCTGCTAACCATGCTCAGTTTGGCCTAAAACGTTCCAAATGATCTCATTCTTTATGTCTCAGGTGGAAGAAGCGAGGAAGAAAATGTTCAACGGCACCATCTCATCAGTGCCTCAGACTCTGACTGTGGTGGCTTCACAGCTGGGCTCCAGCTCATCCACCAACAGTAGCGCCTCCAAGCCTCTGCCGTCAGCTGCCTCTGTCCTGCAGTCCCTCCCCTGTCAGATCCTGGGCCAGAACAGTCTGGTGCTGACTCCTGTGGCCAACGGATCCAGTGTCACATGCGCACCTCTGGCTCTCACAGTGGCGAGCCAGGTAGATGACCAACAGAGGAAATGACGTTTTAAACGTTAAAACTTTAAAGTGAATGTTGCTTACAGCAGATTCTGATTGGACCCGTTAGGAGTACCTTATCACAACTTGATCAGTGAGAGAAACCGTTTTGACTCCTGCAGGTGGCCCAGTCGCTCAAGAGACCGCTGGCCACTCCGGTGATCGCAACTGAGAGTAAGCGGCCGTCCATCATTCAGACCATCCATGCGTCGACGGCCACAACGAAGCTGGTGTCGCCCAAAATGTTGACTTTCACGGCGGACCCGAACAAAACGGCCGAGCAGCTGTCAGTGCTGCGCTCCAGCTACACACAGTGTCCTTTCCCCGAGGAAGATGAGGTAAGAAGTGAGTGGAATGACATCTTTTTGTGCAGTAATAAACATAATTGTTCCTCTAATGGTTGGATTCCCAGTTTAGTGTTTTTCCTCTTAAATCCACACCTTTCAGCAGCAGTAAACCACAGTTAGTGTTTACTTTAACGCTGTTTACTGTGGCAGATCTACAGGCTGATAGAGACCACGGGACTGTCCAGGGGAGAGATAAAGAAGTGGTTCAGTGAACAGAGGCTGCTCAATCTCAAAAGTATGTAAGCAGAGAAAATTCACTCTAAACGATGCCTTATCTGCGTTTTCTTGTCCTACGTGATGGAAAACTAAGTGCTGTTTATGTTTATCTGTGTGCGTCCTTTTGGAGGCGTGGCTTCTCCACCTGTGCTGGTGAAAGCAGAGGCGGCTCCGGCTGTTCTGGACGGCCCCGTTAAGAAAGCCGTCCCAAGTAAGTTTCCCCTGCTGGAGAGAGTGAAGGGGAAGACATCGGAGCAGCTCAAGGCGCTGGAGGAGAGTTTCCAGAGAAGCAGCTCCCCGATGGAAAAGGAGCTTGGTAAGGAGTCCAAACAGGCGCCTAAACTTTTATCTTCTTACTTCCACTTCCTGGTAGTCATACTTATTAAATGTATCCATGTATAGTTACGTTGCAAGCACAAACATATTGTGTCAAGATTTTATACAAAACACCAACAAAAGTAGTGGATTATTGTGAAATGGAAAAGAAGATGTAATAATAATTGGAACGTATTGTAGGAGGCTAGAAATGCTCTGGAGGCGCAACAGAGACCTGTAACTCAGGTAGGAGATTCCCTACCAGCAGGGCAGTAACCCTAAATATGCAACCAGAGCTGCAGGGGAAATGTGTAGATGATATTATATTCAATTGGTAGACTGGCCTAGTCAAAGTCCAGATCTAAATCCAGTTGGGAACTTTTGCAAAACTAAAAACTGTAATCCATCCATCCATTGTCTATTCCCTCTTAAACATGGAGGGCACATCTTGAACAGGTCGCCAGTCCATCACTGGGCGATAGACACACACAGAACATACAACCAAAAGTCTTGATTTTGTTGTTACGGCATTACAATATATGAAATAATTTAAAAGGTGTAAATACTTTTGTGCTAAGTAAATCAGAGTTTTGCTGTGTGCTGCATTGAAGAGTCTTGACATGTCCAACTCAGACCTCTTAGTTTTACATGATTTCACCCTCCTGGGAAATCCTGACGGAGGAGAAATCAGGTAATTGGTTGAAACCGTGTTAAGTTTGACTGACTAATCAAAGACATGTAGCCAGTCACAAACATGTTCATCTCCATTTCTGTTCTCCTGCATACCAGTCGGGCTAATTAGCAACTTGTAATGCTCCCGCCGTCTCTGGCATTTCTGCCTATGAATTAGACTTTTAAATCACTAAAAGAAATCAGGTTGTTTTCTTTCACTTACACAAGTCCACAGCATGTGACTTGGATTTTTCTTTCACCCCGGAGGAGCTGCACGCTCCTCTCTCGTGGCTGCAGCCATGACGGGAATAGCGGCGACGTTTTTAATGAGGCCCCGTTTTCAAGTCCCCCCGAAGCGTGACTGAATCCTGCAGTTTGTCGAAAAGGGGAACGACCATCTTTTTTTTTTTTTTTTTTTTTATCATCTTGTTTCTGCCACAGACCAGCTGGCTCAGGAGACGAGGCTGTCCAAGATGGAGGTGGACTGCTGGTTTTCGGAGCGCCGCGCCCTGAGAGACAACATGGAGAAGGTTCTGCTCACCATGGCCTCCAGGAACACGGAGGACAGGCCGGAGCGGGCGGGAGGGGCGCTGCTGAATGGGGCTTCTCACCGGGAGCAGGACGGGAAGGCTCTTCGTTCCTCTCCTCACCCGCCTCCTTTCTCCTCCTCCTCCTCCTCTTCGTCTTCTACCTCCCCCCCTGTGCTCGCAGCGTCCTCCCCTCAACCTCCCACCCATTCCTCTTCAAGATCTCCTCCCATACTCAACTCGTCTTCTCCTCATCCTCCCCTCCTGTCAGTCTCCTCAAGCCCAGCGCCCATCTCCAGTCGCACGCTCGCCCTTCTCAGGGAGGTGAGAAGCGATGAAAGCATGTCTTTAATGGATTGTATTTATTTTTTAGTCAAAACATTAAAAGTGTGCGCAGTATTTTGTTGATGTTCCGCTAATATAAAAAAAGACAGAATTTTGTAATTGCAGTGTTTCCATTAAATAAGGCATTTAAAATCACATGTGAATAAGTTTGTTCATGCTATAAGTTGTTAAAAAAACATGCTACACCATCATCATCCTTCCACTTCCAGCCGCCTCCTTCATCTTTCCCGCCAGTAGAAACATGATCACATGACTCGTGATGTTTCATTGCTTTTTTTTTTTGTCAAAACAATGAAACATTAACTGCATTTCCCTTACAAATGTGCACAAAACTTTGTCGATGTTCTGCTAATGTCAGCCCTCACCACAATTGTGATATTTCCATCAAATTATTGCGGCAAGTCGTTAAAAAAACATGCCACGTCATCATCCTCCTACCACTTCCTGTTGTCGTCTTTGTTGTTTCCGCTAGTGGTAGCCTTCGGTTGTTGATCGCATTTCAATACGGCTGAACAACCACCTGGTCCTGGCGCCAAAAACTTCTCATCGAAAGTGTTTTCGAAATATCTGTTATCATTAAATAAAAAAATAAAATTTTACGCGAATAAGCTTGCTGACGCAGTAAGCCATTAAAAATCATGCCGCGTAACTCCCATTTGCGCAATTATGTGGTCGATGAAAACGCAGCTACTGACGCCCACGGATCCACTTGTTGATGTTTAAAGATGCGTCGCTTAATTAGTGATGCACATGCTGTGCTTTTACCCACAGATGTTCTGTCGGACCCAGTGGCCCTCCCCCGAGGAGTACAGCCAGCTGGAGCTCCAGACGAAACTGGGCCGCACCGACATCGTCCGCTGGTTCAAGGACCACCGCTCGGCCCTGAAGAACGGCGAGACCCTGGACTGGATGGACGCCGTCCAGAAGCAAAGCCTCGCTGAGGAACAGAACGCGGGCCAGCACCAGAACGGCCAGATCGCCGACGACAACCAGGCCGTTTCCTTGGAAGTCAAGGCTCTGAATGGTGAGTCCCGCCGGAGGACACTCTGTTCTCTGTTTGATTCATTATTATTCCACCGGACTGAGGCTCTAAAAATTTAATCTTGTTGATCCTAGCGGAGGAGTCTGGTGGGAACGTAGCAGCTGGGGAGGACTCCAAACTGTCCGGCCAAGACAAAGGGCGCCGGCTGGCCGAGCGACTAGCACAAGGCGTGAACGATCTGAGCCGAACCGGGCAGGACCAGAACAGCTGCGGTGCATCCGACAAAGGAAGGTAAGAAAAACATGGGCTCCATACCGGAGAAAAACATTTTGACCCACATTTGTTTGCATAAAAAACAGGCGGATCAGGTAATTCTTCATAGACATTGTAAACCATCATTTCTTCAATCTGAATTTATTCTTCATGTCAATAAAATCTAATAATGCACAGCTTAAATTAAGGTTTTGGGTTTTTTTTTTTTTCATATCTTTTCTTGCCAGGTGGGTAAAGGTCACTGCTGGAGACGAGACAGAAGGAGCGGAGAGACAGAGACTGGCCACCGACACTGGTGTTATGACTATGGAGCAACCAGGAAGAGTGACTGGGTGACGGTAGGTTTAGATCTGTTTGTCCTTAAAGCGTCTTCTAAAAGTATTCACATCCCTTTTGGCTTTTGTCACATAACGGTCTCGAGCTTTATTTTATTTTATTAGACAAAAACAAAAAAAAAGGTACATAATTATGAACTGGAAGCGGAATGATGCACGGTTTTACAAATAAAAATCTGAAAAGTGTGGCGTGCATTTGTATTCCATCCTAATCCTTGCACAGAATAGCTGGATTAACAGTGAGATTAAATTACATCCAAATCTGCTTTGTTAACTTGTATGCAACTGGTTGCTCATGAGTTTTATTTATTCAATTCAGAAATACTTTATTGATGTCAAAGGCAAACTAAATGTTTGCTATAAATCAAATAAGATTTTTCAAAGAGTTATTGTGGATGGTCATGGCTTTGAGCAGGAAGGATGTCCTGTAACAGTTTTGAGGATGAAACTTCTCCTCAGAGCTTCTGCATTACAGAGCAGCTCTCCCTCCACTCAGCTCCTTCAGACTAGCCAGCAGCAATTAGCAAACACCTGGCGGAGCTGTACATCTGCTGAGCTCATTATAGGAGCTACTTCTCAGTGCCATGCTGATAGGAACATTGTTAAAGGGTTAATAGAGGAGCCATGTTGTGATGACTTTCTGAGTTTTTAAAGAGACAAAGGCCCAATTTCAAGTTTTTAAATTACAAAGGCAAATTTCTTTTAAGTCATATTTGATATATGAATTTTTTCTGACAGCTGAGGGTAACATAGTTACTAGATGGTGCTATAAAATGGGACTACATAGAAAACGCATAACACAGCCCCTTAAATGTCTAGACATTTGAACATAATGGATCTAATTGACAAGTAAAGTCCATCATCTATACACCTGTGGGAATATAGAGGAAGTGACGTGGTTGATTTAAGTTTGATTCACTTTTTAAACCAAACTTTTACTTTTCTGCTTTAGTCTGCAGCCCTCAGAATCAGTTATTGCTGATGCCGCTGCTGCTGCATTGCCAAGTTTTTTCCTCTGTGGATGCTTGGAAATGTTCCAGCCCTCCGTGACTCCTGACAGGACGAACTGTAGAGAATAAATGGGTGGCAGGAACAGATTGTGACTTGGCTGAAATTAAATGGTGAACTGTTCCTTTAAGAGGGCACAGCTGTGCTTCTGCAGCCGTCCAGGAAGTTACTGGTGTGTAATTATGTCTGATTGGTCCTTCAAAAAGATGGCATGCACCGCCATTAGCATCAAACGTGCAGACAAAAGCAGATAATTATGGTCACGTAAGGGCAAAGAGAAGGTTTGTTTATGTAAATAAGATGGATAAAAGAAAAAAAATCTCCAAAAAGAGATTTTTAACTGTTGTCAGGAAAATATTGGCTAGTATTATAAATCTGACTCTCTTCCTGTTCTAGGAAAGGCAAATCTTTAAATGCTGATTCTCCAGCCATCGTGGGGCAAGTGAAGACGACCAATCAGAGACGCAGTGTGTCTGTGATGTCATCACACAGCGCCAGGGATGATTGCAGCACTGAGGTGAAGAACGGATGCTGACGTGAAGAGGAGTGCCAAAGCTGGACTTGATGCAGAACTCTCACTACTACGTTTAGTTTTCTTTTTTTGTTGTTTTTGTAACATGTCTGTAAATATTCTTGTCATACAGAGTAAGCGGTCTGTTCAGGTGCAGAGCGGCAAAGCTTTTCTTTTAATTTTTATTTTCATGATGAATGAATGTTGCCCCAAAACCTGGAATGTTTTTGGTTGCTGTAATAAGAACAAAAATGTATTATAGTCTATTTGCTGGAAATCTCCTTTTTGTAAAAAAACAACAACAAAAAAAACAACTGAAAAACAACTAGCTGCATTTTGCTCATTATGAGTAAATTTTGATGGCACTTGCATATTTTTCTTGTCGTAGTGGTAGATGTTCCCGTACCAGGCTGCTTTTCAAATGCCTTTACGGTGATACAATGCTGACTCAGATGTGCAAAACAGGCGAGTAGGAGGAGTGTGCAGCTGAGGAAACAAGCTGCAGCGAGCGCACACACACACACACACACACATACACACACACTGATTAGCAGCAGTGGTGCAAAAACTTTAACAAAAAAAAAATATCCGCCGCTTGTTTAAGCAGTTTTTATTTTTCTTCAGGCGTGTTCTTGAAGCTGATGCAGAACATGATGTGCACATTTCTACAGAGAACTGATAAATCCCGGAGAATGCAGGGTCTGTCCGACACCATGCTGCCTTTCCAGCTCATACCTGTTGTTTCCTGTCTACTTTGTAAAAAAAAAAAAAAAAAAGGATCAGAGTGGAGCAGCTTCACAGTTCTGTGTTGTAAATCTTCTTGGAGGAACCTGCCGAAAGCCCTTTATTTTCTTTTTTTTTTTTTTTTGTGAAAATGCTACATGCACTCTAAATAACCTGAGCACCTTTATCTGAGCCTTTTCATATATATATCCATTCGTTTAGCTGTAAATACGTCTTGTCTTCTATCTAGGCTTCTTCGCTTAAGAGTCAAGGTGGGATTAATTTCCCCTCTTCATTTCGGCACACGCTCAAAACGGAGGTCGACGAACGTCGGAGATACAAAAACGGAGCTGTAAAAGGCGGTTGGAATGTCACGGCAGTCAAAAGCTGTCACAAAGTTTCAAATGTTTCTCTCTTTTTAACTCATCTTGGAAAGTCGTTTAAATTGACCTCTTTATTTCCACATGAATGAAATCGGTGTTTTTTTTTTTTTTGTTTTTTTTTTTTGCTTTCAGTCACAGGAGGAGGGAGGGAAGCTATAATTTAACATCGGCAGGTGGATGGCTGAATGCTTGACTGCATGTTGGTTCCTGCTGCTTTGGGTTCACGGTCTCAAATAACTCAACATCTTGTTTTTGACGTGTACAGGATTAATGCTTGCATTTTCATTTTCTCCCTTTTAAGCCTGATGCAATTCAATAAAAACACAGTTGACTGCAAAATGCCGTGGTAGTCTGAATAAAATGGAGAATATGATTGCTAGATATTTGAATTTGTTGCGATTATTTTCTGCCAGCATCAATGCAGTACTTTGGACAAGTATTTAAACACCTTTTAAATTTTTTTTACTAACCTAATTAGAGTGATTGAAAATGCTTGCCACACTTTTCAGATATGAATTGGGAACTCTGAGCTAGATTTGATGTTGGAGCCGAAGTAACAGCTTCTAGTTAAAAAACCTGAATTTCAACGTAGCGACGAATGTAGGCGTTCGTGGTAATTCTTAGAAACATTTTAAGCTTCACTTTTAATGAGCACTTTAAATATGATCCTTTTAATCTTATACGTAGCTGCCCAATCAGTAGTGGGGATCGGGCCGCTACATCTAATACTGATTCTAGACGCACTTTCACATGTGTGTCTTGTAAAATATGTTTCCACCTAATCTTACTACTGCAGAGCGGCCATATTGAAACGTGAAGTAGGTCTTACAAGTCGTAACTGGGGGTAAACCATGCAGGAGATTGGGCCCAGAGAACCAGTTCCAATCCAAACTGAACATGCACACCAAAGGAAAACATTAGATTAGGCTAAAAGAAAAATTAAATTATTTGGAATGTATAAAACAAATGTACATTATAAATGGGTTGAATTTCATCTAATTTCTCGCCTTCTTTGGTGTGAAATTCTGACGTGAATCAAGCTTTCCTGATGCCTCACAATGTTGACACGAAACTAACATGTACAACTTAAATGTGTGCAGATTCCTTTCGCTTTTCTACAATCTCTTGTGTCGCCCCCAAAAACATGCCGCCCTAGACAGAGAGCCGTGTTGGGCATAACGACAAACTTATATTGACTCTTTTAGCTTGAGGGTTCTTTAAGAATATTCAGATTTTCTTCCAGCACCACTTACCAACATGACCCAGCAGATGGACATCTCTTCCACTTGATGTATTGATACAATCTGATAATCAGCCCACATCAATGCAACAATGTAACATAACTGAGGGCAATAAATGTCAGTGTTTGCTCTTTTAGAGGAGAAAACGAGAAACATAAATAGTAATAAAACAATTCTCAACTGTTCCTTCTGTACATATTCTAATAGTTTATTTTAACAAAGTATTGCATTAAGGCAACAGTAAAAATAATCAACACACCCAGACTCATCCTTTCAATAATGTGCTGTATTTACAAAAAAAAGAGCAACAGCTCGTTTTTGTTTTGCCTCATTTAAATTGTCTCATGTCAGAAAAAGTTCCAGCTCTTTGCACCAAAGGCTCGAAAATACAAATATGTTACACGTACTCAATCTCAGACCTGGGAGCTACAAAAGTTAAATACAGTTTCTAGTTTCTATGTATTAAAAAAAACAAAGTATTCACCCCCTGGATGTTTTACAAGTTTGACTTGACAAAAAAAAAAGCAATTTTTTTAGTAAAAAAAAAAAAAAAAAAAAAAAAACAGTTGTGGAAAACTGCTTTTTACAAAAGAAAACAAGTGGCTGCATAAATATTCACTTGAAGTCATTGTTTAGATAGAAGATGTGACTGCGAGTTTTTACTCCATTCTTCTTTTCAAAACTTTTCAATCTTCTGTCAGGTTTCTGGGGACCAGTGTGTCAAGTCCTGAAACAAATTCTCTATCAGATTGAAGTCTGGGCTTTGACTAGGCCACTTTGTTTGTCTTCAGACCATTTCTGTGTCACTTTAGCTCATTAGTTCTCTTGCAGATGAAAACAAATTGTTCTCTGGCATTTCTCGATATCTTGCTGCATTCATTTTACCTTCTGCCTTCACGAGCCTTCCTGCCATGCAGCATGATGCCGCCACCACCGTGCTTCACGCTGGGAATAACGTCTCGGTGCTGATGTGCAGTGGTGCGATCTGCCAAACACAGTGTCCTGTTTGATGGCTGAAAAGCTCCATTTTCACTCATCACTCTAAAGAATCCTCTTCCGCTTGACCACAGAGTCGCTTTTCTACCATTTGGCAAACCGTTTAAGCCTAGATATGAATTTTCTTTAACAGTGGCTTTCTCATCGTCACTTGCCTGTGCTTTTTAAATGATGAAAAGCACAGGCAACAGGCAGAGTCTCTACCATTTCAACTGCTGAAGCTTTTTTATATCCATCCCCTGACTTATACTTTAAGTAACGTTTACTCTGATTTGCTTGGAGTGTTCTTTTCTAACCCTACCTGCCAGCTACTGGTGTCTTTATGCTACTTTAGAGTCACTTCATTCATGTGACCTCCATTCTTCTCATTGTGAGATTGCTGGCACTAATTGACTGGACCTCTGTTAAATTAGGTTAAATGGGGTTGAATATTTACGTTAAGTGTTTGTCATTTTGTAGAAGTCAGATTGATTTTTTTTTTTTTAATGAAGCCAACTTTTGTGGATCATGACTGATTTGTAAAAGCAATAAAGAGGGCAAAACATCCAAGGAGGTGAATACTTTTTTTTCTTTTAATGCACTGTAGCTTCCCTTCTCGTCTGCTGGAGGAAGGCTGACGGCGCACTCGGCAGTGATAATTACAATGTAATCTGATATGGCATCACAGGGAGGGAGGAGTCCGAATCAGCAGCGTGCAGCTGCAACATCTCTCGTGTCGACAGTCGCGTCGTGGAGGAAAACGGCGGAAAAGGACAGGAAAGACGGAAATGAGCGGGAGGCGTTCGGGGTCGCCACGGATAAAAGACATTTATTTTCATAAGTTCCGTCTGCTGGACGTGTGCAGCAGTAGAAACGGCTGAACCGAGCCAACGGTCAGAGTCCGAGTCCTGTAGTGCGGAGCGGAGCAGTTCCGGTTGAAGCACATACACACACTTTCTCCGGTTTCATCCTGCAGCATCTTTGAAAACCCAACACACACACACGTGAATCAAACTTGAGGTAAAGTTTTTCTTTCTCTCTCATTCTCTTTCTTTCTTTCTCAAAACAGAAAATTGTGGGGAAGCAAAAAAAATCTCAGGCAGAAAAAAAAAAAAAAAGTCAACTGCTCAGTCGTTTGTTAGAGGGAGCTGAAGGAGGATCTCATTCTCCTCCGAGGCGAAAGCCTTGTCCCCAGTTGTGACGGCCTCCTCCCCCGCCTGCCGCTGGCGGCTCCTGGGGAACCGGCCTCCTGGTCGGAGGAACCCCAAACCCCGACACTCCTCCTCTCGTGTTAGGGAAGAACCGATACCTGGAGGAGGAAAACAGGGAGGCGATTTATTGAACATCGAATGCTACAAACAAACGCAACCAGCTGGAGATCAGAATAGATTCCCAACTTTATTTGGTTCGTTGTGGCTTTAAGACGAAGACGAACGGTTTTTGTTCAGAGAGGCCTCAGAAAACGAATGATACATCATCAAAAGGCGAAACGTTAGTGAGTGATTCAAGAATCTGACACATTATAAATTACAGCTTTAGATAAACATGTTTATTTTTGAAAGGATGTAAATACGACTCATGTTACTATACACTGCAAAAACACAAACCTCCTACCAGGTCTAATTGTAGTGCAAATATCTTACTTCTCTTGAAATAAGACAAAACTAACTTAGAAGTAACTTTTGAGCAAGAAATAGGAGGAATATTGATGGAAAAAGTACAAGATGAAAGTGAAAAAAATCTGCCATATTGTTCCACTTGTTCTACCTGCAGACTTCACTTATAACTAGTAGTTTTCCCCTCAATATTAAGGAATTCTTGACTTAAAACAAACTCCTACATATTACTGAAAAGTTATTTGTAAGTTAGTTTTGTCTTATTTTAACTGCACTAACATATTTTCACTAGAAACTAGACTTGGTAAGATTTTGTGTTTTTGCAGTGTAGGATGCATATTTTGAGGTAGCTGCTACGAATACACTGTAATCCTTTAAAGTTGAGTTCAGTCGTCCAGACACCGCTGACCCTCAACCTGGAGGATTTCACCGTATTAGATTTTCAATCGTGAAATTTTTACCACCCAATTTTATTTAATGCAGAAATTAGACAAAGAATTTACAAAAACTAGAAATGAACCGCAAAGTTACGGATCAGTGCATTTCTGCTTTCATCTTTTACTTGAACACTCACAAGAAGTCGGGCGTGGAGAGGAAGGAGCGTCCGCCCAGGTCCATGGGGTATTTGAACATGAGGAAAAAGTAGAGGTGGCCGACCAGATTGCCCGTCAGCTCATTCATAAATCTGCACAGAAGCAAAGAGAGGAAGACTAAAGAAACCTCACACCACCGATCCGCTGCGACACGTCCGGCTCGTCCCTTTGGGATCCGACAAAACGGGTAGGTTGGTACTTACGATCCTCCGATGATAAAGTTGAAGACCAGGATGACCCAAGGTAGGTAATGTGCCTACAAACAGAGCAGCAGACATCTTTAACTGGACGTTTACATGCAAGCAGCAGCAAAACCGCCAGAAGTCACTCCAACAATCGGCTTCGTGTCCGACGTGAATGAGGTTTGAGGCGCGTACCTTGAAGCGAGTTCCAAACCAGAAAGACACGATCATCTCGCTGTTGAACTGAGCCCAGACGTACAGCACCGACATGATCAGTGGGATCATCAGCAGCTGAAACAAAAGGCGACGCCAAGTCAGACGCTCGCAAAGTAAACTTTGTATGCAGATTCAAAAAATAGGTTATTTGCTGAAAGAACAAGACCCAGAAAAGTAATTAAAATAAATAAAATAAAAAAAACATAAAACCATCTGTAAATGTGTTCAACCCAGAAACCCACATTTCTTCAGAATTGATCAAATTCTGAAGAAAAAAAAAATGCTATTCAACCCGACAGATTAGCACTATGGTGTGTTGATGTTAATTTGAGCAGAAATACCTGAAACTTTTGAGCTTCTTGACGTCAAATGTACTCTAAAAGAACTCTGTTAGTGAATTTTAGGCAGTAAAATGTTGATTTTCTTATTTAAAAAAGGAATCAAATGATTTATTTGCATCTTTTAATGCATTTCAAATATTACATAGAAAGCCTTCAGTGCTTAAATGAAAAATATGCAGAATGAGCACATTCTGGTTAATCATTTATCTGATTAATCAATTAATCGTCAAAAATAATTAATTACTAAAATAACTGTTGGTTGCAGGATGATAAACATACATATCTGACTGATATGCGGCTATAAAAAGAGCCAAAGCTGGTTCTAAGCATTCAATCAAAGGAGATTAAATAAGCATGCATGCCACACTTTTCAGATTTTTTTCACATAAAATCCAATTACAAACAGACCCAATGAAGAATGTGGCTGTATTGTTACAAACACATTTTTAAAAATAAGGTGTGAATAGTTTTGCAAGATACGGCGCCGCTTATCGCATCCTGGGTTTTCAGTGTTACCTGGAAACAAGCACTGCGTGCTTCAACAACTCGGCACAGTCAAACCTGTATTGTGGCGTAAATACAGCGAGAATTCTTACCCGCATGTCCATCAGCAGCCCGGTTATCTAGAGACGCCAAGTCAAGGACAACAAGCTCTAGGCGGTTTCATTTGCAGCCTCAGGATTAGGGAGAGGGTACTCATGGAGGGAAAAAAAATAAATAAAATCCCCCACTTAAATCCCCATTTCAGCTCTAAAAGCACCTGGCACTCACACTGGAGCAAAGGAGCCGACCTTGACGGATCACGCCTTCCTGCTGTTCTTACCTGAGGTTATTATCAAAACTGGAAAATTTATATTCCTGATTTTGTTTGTGACTCAGTCTGAGGCATCTATTAATTATCACTGAACTCCTGACAAAACAAACGGAGCCGGACTGTGGAGCCGCTTGGTGCTGCATGTGACCTAGATTAAGTTTCTCTGCTCTGCAGAGGGTAGACTGACACTGGGCCACTGGCGCAGAGCCACCCTGACATGGCATGCTTCTGCTGCAGAGAGAGAGAGAGAGAGAGATGGGGTACAGAGGAGGAACAAAAGCATCAGTGGATCTGTGGAAAACAGGCCAACAAAGGGCTGCAACTTTCAGCGTTCATTCAGTCCTTTAAGGTTTTAATTTCCTTCTGTTGGCGACGGCGGTGAAAGGATACAACAATGCAGATCCAGTTGAAAAGGAGCATGAAAACATAGTCTGCAGGCCGGCCATCAAACGCTCCTAAGGATTGGGAAGAAAGGCAACATTTAAAAAAAAAAAGAAAAAAAAGAAAGGGTGACAGAAAATGTAAGCGCCCCGACGGCCTCACCTGTTTCTAGCCGAGTGGAGTAATGGTAGAGGAAATAAAGGTTGACCAGGTAGAGGAAGCCGGTGTTTGGGGTGACGGGGAAGTAAAGGGTGGCTGTCACCGGCCTCCAGAGCTGAAAAAAAAAACAACAAAAAAAAAACAAAAGGGATGTGGACTGGAGGCAGATCACAAATCATACATTTTCAGCCAGCTCTATCCGTGTTAATAGATCTTTTGCGGCAACGATGGGAACAACACGGCGTTTAAAATGTGCTGCAGGGACAGAGTTCTGCAAACGATCCAGGAACAATTGTTGCTAATCGGTTTAGCTTTTAACCTGTAAAAAATTATTTCTCTTTGTCGCGCCAACAATTCCATTAATCTGGGATGAGACAGCAGCAGCCCTTTGGTCATTTTAGGATTTACTGATTTCCTACTTGACCTCAAAGGATGAAAACCAAATTATGAGATAGAAATATCTCATATTTCTCAAATTTTTTGGCCAGCAACAACTTTTGTTTGGTACTAATACAACTGATAAAAATCATATGACTTACATGGAATCAAATTATAGCTTAACAGGCAAGATTTAATGCATTTTCCAAGATTTAATGCATTTTCCCCCAAGCTAGTTTTAAACTATTCTTTAGCTGAGCCATGGCTGACAGTATTGGAGTGGGTTGCAACATCTGTTATAAACATGTTACAACCATCTCCTTACATAAAACTAGGGAGTATTTTTTATTATTATTTTATTGATACTTCATTTTGAAGCATATATTATGATATAGTCTCGTAGTATATAATATGTAAATTCAGTTTACTGACTCCATTATTTAAAAGAACATGTGAATACAATTATTACTAGATATTTTTTTCTACGGAACAAAAATAATTACGAAGAACGATATTAATTGTTTTTTTAATGGTGCATTTAAAAATCATTTTCTGTCTGAATTACACTGCCCTCGGATACAAATTCAAGCAGAACGCCTTTCGTGATTACTGTCGTACAGTCGCCGCCTTGTGGACTACACCAGAACAACACCCTAAAAATAAACACATATTTACAAACCCTCTAAAACAGAAATTTTATCTCATTCGTTGAAAAATTAAAACATGAAATCCATCACTGATAACATTTTAGAATGACACGGTTCCCTGAGTATTTTCGTGTGAGCACGTTAGGGGACACTTTCAAGGCTTCCGGAAGTTCCAACCTACGTCTCGACCTCCGATTGGCTGCAGCAGAAGGCCTATTAGGGTTAGCCAGCTGCTAACAACCCGAACACATAAATAGAACCTAAACAACAACCAACGCTTTGGCTCAAAGAGACAACCATAATATACTCACCTGAAATCTGCTAAAGACCAGCTCTGGGAACAGCATAAGGTTCCTAAAATCAACCAATCCTAGTTTACCGATAAAGGGAACAGCAATCGAAGCAGCAAACCAATACCGGGTGATCAAAGGGATGCTTCGGAACCAGTCCCCGATGTCTGACATCTTTCCATAGGACTCCCGCCAACTAATAAAGGCGAAACAAAGTCTGTTCTTTAAAAATAACTCAAACTCGCTTTAAAGTACAAGCCTTCTTGGGTTTGTTTAACAGCTGCTCCACAGCCAAGTTAACATGACGTGGCTAATCACTATGAGCTAGTTTTGCATTTGTTGACGTCACAAAACTCCGAGCGGTAGCTTCCGGTTCAGATTTTCATAATAAAAGGCAACAACTCTACCTATAATATCCGCCTACAAAATTGGAAAAAAGTATATTCAGACTACGCGAAAATAATAAATTGTGAAATTTTCAAACCTTTATTGTCAGAAGGATAATTTAGTAATATGTGAAAGCATGAAAGAACAAGCTGATTTTACATAAACTACGGATATATATTGTTGTTTTTATATTATTCTTCAGACATTGTCAGAAGATACATTGCTATATTGTATGATTGTTCTGAATTGACATAGATAACAGGCTTCTAAAAGGTTCTACATTTGTGCTTTACTTCAGTTAGTTGTATGCATGATCATACATAATAAATATAATATAATATAATTAATATAATAAATACTTTCTATAAAAATCAATACTAATTAGTATAATTATTTTTGGATCTGCAAAATAGGCATAATGCCACTCTTAATTTGGATGTAAAGAGGCTAGTACAACCGGACGCATTTTGAATATATAATGCCAGATTTTTGTTTATGTTCTATTTCCTGTCAAATTTGCACAGCGCTCCTTTGACCATTCAGAGGAAGCCAGCAAAAGAAAGAGGCGTGTCGGTGCCAGTTGACTCAGCAACTGAGAAGTATTTTAAACTGAAGGAAGATGGTAAAGATGGACAAGATCTAGATCGCAAAGAAAATATCTGTAGAAATGTGTTATAACACAAGACTTGCTTTCCATTATGTAAAATGCAACCTTAATGCAACCTTAGTTTAGTTCCATTTGTTCTTTTATTTTTGTTTTAATCAGTTTTATTTATCTATTGCCAAATTACATCAGTGTGAAAAGATGTTTAACATTACTCAATTTCAAGAGGTATTCATCCAATGAAATATTCATTAATGCAGTAATTTCGGTAACTTATCGTCACTTCTCAACTTGTCCCAACTTGACCGATGTGGCCCTAAATGAAAATTAACTTAACATCCTCGCCTTAACATGTAAAAAAAGAAAAAAGAAAAACACAAAAACACACACAAAAAATGTGATATTACTGCCAAAAACGCTTCCTGGTCTTGATTTTGGCCAACACTTTTAATTTCGCATTTCGCATCACCTCAGAACGAGAGCTTCAAAAACTCAAATCCTTCACAAATTTATAAAATCCCACTTTTGTTTAGACCCCCTTACCACGTCTTTAAATACTCTACAACATATGTGATAACACAGGAAACAGCTTGAAAGCAGTGTTTTTGCAACAAACCAATACAATTATAATGGATAAAATTGAAACTCAATATTTTATGTTAGTATACCATTTTGTTCCAGGTTTCAATCTAGAAAGTGGTAGTAAAAAATCCATGCCAATCGCCACAAAGAACCATTGAACTTCAACTCCCATGATTCAAGGCCAATGACGTCATCTTTAAGCGACGCGTAACCGTCTTCAAAACAAACATGTAAGCTGTCTAACAAGTAGCTGTTTAGCTGTACTTCTGTTCATTTGTTGAAACTCAGTCGAGTTTCTGTTAGATTTAGATTTTGATGCTGATATTTAAGAAGTTTTTTGTCGATATTTTTACAGAATAAAGTTCGACTGTAGATTTTGGTTTTAAATTTCGCGCTGTTTGCTCCGCCTCTGTTCAGCTTGCCTCTGCGTTATGGAGGTTGGTTGCTTCGGTCAGGTTAGGAACATAAAGAAAAGTGAGAGTGGATTATTTTTTATTTTATTATTTTTTTTTCCAGTGATTGTTTAATCGGCAGAGACATATTTTTTTAAATGGAGGTGACGGACATTGGAAACAAAGAGGAAGGAAAAGTATGGCATCGTAAACCAACACCCGGCAAAAGGTAGGTTTGAATATTACCCGGGATGCCTCTTTAAAACACCTGTTTCATTAGCAGTGATCATGTGCTGCTGGGCTTACAGAGAGTTATTAAAGCAGACGTGATAACGGTGTTAAACCGTTATCACGTCTGGGAAAGTTTCGATTTCTATAAATATGTCATTTTTCCATTCGTTGTATCCTGTCTGTGGGTTTCCTTCCTTAGTGTGTTGGCGACGGTGGTCCGCACTGTTCAGCAGAACAAGACGGTGCGTTTCCTCCATGTGGCCTTCGACACCACAGGGGACTCTTTTCTGGCCGGAGATCACCATGGCAACATTTACTTCTTTGACATCAGTAGAAACAGGTGACTATCTGTGGGTCCTGCTGGGTGTGTGAGGGGATGCTGCAGAGTAAAATGTAAACAAATGGACATTTAAAGCGTCTCACAAAATCAGTCCTTCCAGTTGAACTGCTTTGCATTTTGTCACATCGCAACCGCAGCATTAGGAGTAATGAGTTGGGATTTATGTGTGCAAGGAACACCCTAGATTTGTCAGTGCCATCTGCAGGTGGCCACAAGAAGGAAGAAGGCGTTTTCGTCATAGGAGATCAAAATGAAATCTTTTGGTTTACATGCAAATGAACATTACCCTGAATGCATCATTCCCACTGAAAGACACACAGAGTTGTGCTGGATGTCTTTCAGCACAACTGGAGGGATACTTTGCACTGGAGGGAGCTATGAAAGTTTTTTTTTTAATGCATAGAACAAAAACGCAAAGTTCTTAGAGCCTAGATACTCGATGTCTAAACATGCCCTCCCTGCTTCTGGGCAGGTTCCGCTTGGTGCAGAGGACAGGACAAGCCTGTACTGCTCTGGCATTCAGCCTCCGCAGGACAACTGAGTTTCTTGTAGCTCTGGTTGACCACACCATCAAATGCTTTGACAAAGGTGAGAGGAACTCTTCTGAATCTTACCTTTCAGCAGCAAAACTATCTGGAAGCAAAGACAGACAGACCGAAACATCTCGTAAGCATCTACTCACCGCGGCGATGGTTTTTTCCCCCCGTCGTGCCGTGCCGTGTGTTTACTTCCACAGACACGAAGCAGCTGGTCAGCTGGATGAGAGGCCACGAGGGAGCCGTCACTTCCATATCCGTCCACAGCTCAGGCCGATACGCCATCACGACATCATCAGACACCGCTCAGCTCTGGGACCTGGACACCTTCCAGAGGAAGAGGAAGCTGAACATCAGACAGTCTGTCGGCATACAGAAGGTAAACAAACAGATGCAGCGCCACATAGTTAAACTCAAGTTCACTCATACCTCTGGCACATTTAGATTTAAATCTTAAAGTCTTTTTTTTTTTTTTCATGATAAAAAGAAAAATTAATGATCAACAATTTTGGTGATTTACTCCAAAACAAGGTTTCAGTAATGGTCTTAAATCCGTCCTTAAATGTTTTGAAACTCTAAAAGTCCATTAAAAGTGTCATTATTTACCGAATCACACTTCACGACAACAGTCATAAGCATTCATGAAGACTCCTTCCTGTTTATGACAGTGTCATGTTAGTCCCATGGTCATCCCTTCAAATAAAGCCTTATCAAAGAAGCTTATTTGTGTGGCACCAGTCATACACTTTGCAATACAAAGTGCTTCGCAGGAGGAAACGACATCGGATACAAAATCACATAAAAGCATAAAGACATTAGACATAATCAAGTATTTTTTTGGAAACACTAAGCCGAGACTATAAATAAATTATAAAGCAATTAATTTTCAGCGCTGATTTAAAGGAGTCAGCAGTTTAAGACAGCGGTCTGTTGTTTCTAACTAACTAAGCTGTAATTTTTTGCGTTAAGGTGGGACTCGGAGTCACTCTGTGAGGTTGGCAGCTCTGCAGCGACGCTCTGTTTCCTGCGTTTCAGGTTTTCTTCCTCCCCCTCAGCAACACCATCCTCAGCTGCTTCAGCGACGACTCCATCTTTGCGTGGGAGAGCGACACCCTGTTCTGCAGGTACCAGCTCCCCGTTCCCGACTCCGGACCCAGGATCTTTTACAAGGCCTTTGCCGTCACACGGTGGGTCTCCAGTCCATAAGATGAGCTCCTCTCCAGTGTTGCTTGTGACTGCCAGTAAAACTCTGCAGGGGTCAGAAGGCTTTAACTTGGGTGTTGTGTCGACAGAGACGGTAAAAGCCTTGCTGCCGGCGGCCGCTCCAACCTGCTGCACCTGTGGTGCCTGGAGAGCCAGCAGCTGGTCAGGGTGATCCAGATGCCGTCTCAGGTCCGAACTGTCAGGCAGCTGGAATTCCTGCCTGACAGCTTTGATGGAGGAGCCAGCCAGGTACACCAGCAGATAGGACTTTTATTTTCTTTTGGCTTTGCTGAGTTTGACATGAAACTCATCCTCCATGACAGCCGATGTCCTTCACTTTGCCTCCACATTTAGAAACCAAGTTGGATTCTGCGTTTGCTTCTTCTTTAAAATGAAGAGATTAAAAAAAACATCCCAGAATATGAACAACTTAAGCATTTGACATAAATACCCACTAATGTTGTAGATTTTAGATTTATTTTGAAGCTATTCAGCATTGAATAAATGTGAATTCAATCTGATTGATATATTTCAATGTGTGTCTATTAAAGATATTTTCAAATTGTTCAGAGTCATAAACGTCAGTCCATCCTTCCTCAGAATATCTAAAGACAGAAATGAAAAGAGGGACAGAAACTCACAGCATAATGAAATTATTCCATGGCAAACTTCCACATTTTTGACCAGTTACTCATTACAAACACACACACACACACACACACACACACACACACACACATAGAAAAGGACAAATTTAATTTTATTGTTCATATTGCGTCACCTCCTGTGGGATTTCCTTTTCCCGTTGACCTCTCTAAGGAAAACAGCTTTGTTTCTTTTACAGTTTCTATTTTTCTAGACAGGAAACCAAAATGTTCACTTCAAGAAATATTTTAATTGGTAACAAAAAGAAGGTTCATCCATATTTTCTTGCTGGTGCCAGACGCTAACGAGCTGGATGTCCTGATATGATCGTGTGCTGAAGGCGAGCAGACTCACAAAAAAGCAGAAATGTGCTAGAATGGAGGGAATAATCCAAATAGAGAAGAACTAAATAATCCTGGCTCGATGTTTGGAACGGCTGTCTGATG